TGAGAAGACCCTTGATTGGCTGTTCACCAATGGCAGATGCTATTCCAGCCTAGAAAAAATACACAGTCAATTAACTTGATATAATTTTAGTTTAAATAAATATGTTAGATCCATTGCATCCACCTTTTTACATCTATAAGTACGCACATTTCAAAATGTAATCTAACAATTACATAATTTTATAAAGGACCCCGCACACCTCTTATGGGAAGCTGCACCATGAAGGATTGCTTTCTGACTTATGTCATTCGATTCTCCTCAAGATGCTGATCAAAAGTTATAATTGCGCCAACTTTCTGCGATGCACCGTTTTCGCAAAAAACCTATGAGAAGATTCAATTATTCGGTGATAAAAAGTCAGAAAGATTCCTCATTTCAGAGCTCGATTGACAAGCGGCTGTGTGTCAACAAGGAAATCATGGGGACTCCCGCACCGAGCGGCAGTCTTATCTCGGATTCCGCACGCCGTTTTGCTCGACCACCATCCAAATCAGATTCTTGAGGAGCATAAGAACAGGAAAGTCTGAACGTCTACCGGGCAAGTGCGGGAGGGAGATAGCCCCTGAGTTGGCAGGTACAGATAAGAAGATGGACATGCGCTACGTTTTTTCCTTATTCACATCGGGCCTGTTCTCAAATGCTTTGTTCTTTTTTAATCATAGTCGCCGAATAATTGAATCTTCTCATGGGTTTTTTGCGAAAACGGTGCATCGTAGAAAGTTGGCACAATTATAACTTTTGATCAGCATCTTGAGGAGAATCGAACGACATAAGTCAGAAGGCAATCCTTCATGGTGCACTTCCCATAAGAGGTGTGCGGGGTCCTTTTTAGAATCTGAGGAGTGTATGAATTTTGAGCATTACTTTCATCTCAAAATGACTTGTGCGATTTCCTCTGCTCGCATGAAGTATAGGTTACTCAACTGGCATTATTTTAACTAGAAGCTGATGTGCCATGCTTTTATTCTGGTGTTTGGATACTTTCAAATTTTTCAAAACTAGTTATTAGAAAGAGGGCTACTTCCGCCCAACTGTTGGGCTAATAGTTACCAAAACGCTTACCTTTAAATTTGTGCATACCATCAGAGCATTTGAACAACAGGATTGATTTACGTTTAATTCAATTAAATAGTTTTGCTCCATTTCCGAAACCTTATTAATAACTGGGGAAAACTTGGAAATAATTTGGGTAGGACTTTAAACAGATTAGTCAACAATTTATCGTCACCACCTCAGCTGATTTGGTGAAAAATCATCGAAATAAAGCCTTTTAAAACAATTTTCTTGATAAACTGCCTTCAACAGTTTCAGGAAGTGAAGTACTCACACCGGCCAGTGTGCATCAAATACAAAATAGAAGAGAAGAAGGAGCTTACTGTTTCAAAATAAGATATAGCTGTGACAGCAACATCTGCAAGAGGAGTGTGTAAGGGACCCACACACTGTTGTTGTGCAATAAGTCCAGTGACACAGCGATCCACCTTGTTTGTTAGAAACCGTTTGCTGCAGACGGAAGGTAACCTTAGGACTCTTTCCAAGGCTGCCATGACCGTGAGGTTGGCTGGGAGATTCAAGGTTTTGATAATGACAGGTTGTAAGTCTAGATGGAAGACCTGGAACATTCAATGAGCGAGTAGATACATCTAATTTTCTTTAATTCCTGAGTGGCAAGACTGAAAATCTGTTCGCGTAGAAAGTTAAAAATTGTCTCTGAAATCTCATTTCAGGTTGCTTCTTTGGTGATAGTGGCTATTGCTGACTTACTTTCAATCCAAGAAAGTGTAGTATCATTTTGGGGGAAAAAATACTTGCAAAAGTAACTTGAGGCATCCTCTACGGAAAACTTAAATTTATTTATAACACTTGAAAATCTGAGGCAAGTACTGAAGAATTTTGTTTACACAGGACTTGTGATGCAGTCATTTTTTCCGAACGGAATTTTCAAAAATAAATTCTGAAACGCTTGAGGCCTAAAAAAGCCTCCATGAAAATACGAGATTTTTAAGAAAAAAATTCGAATACATACTCGTACCTTTGCAAAACTTAGAAAATTAAAATCTAAGAAATTAAAAATGACTAAAAATTGTGAGAGAGATAAATTGAAAAGGATGGTAAATACCTTTTGTGGCATTTTTCCGAGCACCAAGTCCAAGTCAAGATCTACTGGATTCATTAGTTCCCTATTGTTACCATTTTCTTTGATGTAAGCATCTATGTTTGTTTCATCATCCTCCGATAAAATAATTTTACCGTTTCCTGTGACAACTCCAACAAAATTGACAGGACATCTTTCCCTCGCCCCGATTGTCCGCAATATTTCAACATGTTCAGGTCTACACAGCAAAGCATCATTCTCTTGATATTCTGCTCCCCATAGTTCCAGAGTGCTTATGCTTGGATCTCCCAGTTGAAATTTTTTTGTGAAAATGACTGCACCTGTAGGCTCAACAAGTTCTTTGAGTACATTCCCATTGCCTCCAGCACCTTGGTCATGGATACTAGTGATAGGATTGTAATCAGGGAGCTCAAGGCATGCTCTTAGGACACGATTCATCTTCTGTTCCATTTCAGGATCTCCTCGTTGAACAGCGCCGAAATCTAATTCTGCCTTATTGTCTCCCTGAACTTCAATGGAACTAGCTGCTCCTCCGCCTACTCCAATCCTATAAACGGGTCCTCCAATTTTAACGACCTGCATGCCAGGCTGTGGAGGTAATTTTTCGGTCATGTTCTCATCCATGGTTCCTATACCACCACTAAACATGATGGGTTTGATCCATTCTCTTCGTTCGCCAGATGAGTCAGCAAGTCCGAAAGATCTTGTAAAGCCACTGATCAAAGGTTCACCAAATTTATTACCATAATCAGAAGCACCATTGCTAGCTTCGATCAATATATCTAAAGGAGAGGCAAAGTTTTTCGGGTATGCAAATTTTTTGTTCTCCCATGGTAATTTGTAATCTGAAATAACAGATAAATTCACAAATTCAAACTGACACATGACTGAGACATGAGATGACAAAAAAATAAGTTAAGAATTAAGTATGATACAGATACAGATCTATTCATATGGAAAAAAACCAGGATTAATTTCAGAAAATCAATAATTGTGATATGAGGACTGATAAGATTCAATTTCATAAATACTTTAATACATACATATGAGTCGCTTTTATAGTGCTCTTTGGCGCTTTACGACGCCTAATCGCCACAAAGCTCGGTCTTCCCACAGGTCATCAGGGAGTTGACACTCCCTCATCTCGTTCAACAGCCCCTGTCGCCAACCTCTCACTGGGTGTCCCCTACGTCACTTTAATACAACTATTAAAAACAATTATCTTAGCTTTTGACATCATTATTTTAGTCGGAAATGCCATTGGTGACACAATTTTCAACCGCATCCCTCATGCAATAATAAGGACGTGACTACATCTTTCCTCCTCATAGTTGAAGGAAGGCTTGTCTAATTGAAAGACTTCGAAGTCACTCGGTGGAGCCTTGAGTTTAAATTGAAGGGACGAACATGCTGTTTTTGACCTATCAAATAAAATGCATGGTAGACACAGGAGGGATTAAACACAGTCTTTTCTCAGTAATGTTAGGACTGAGCAGGAAGAGCAGTAAAATCCTATTTT